TGCCCGCCGCGAGCTCGGCTCGCAGCCCCCCGCGGCCCCCACCGGGCGCTGCTATTTTTTTGCCTATTTTTATTTTTTGGCCCCCCTCTCCATCTCCTTTTTTTTATATATATATATTTTTGGATTTTACCCATCTGCCCTCACCTCTGGCTTTGGGTTTTCAGGCCACCACGAAGGAGGTGAAAGAGTCGCTGGGCAAGCAGTGGTCTCAACTGTCGGATAAAAAGAGGCTGAAATGGATTCATAAGGCCCTGGAACAGCGGAAGGAGTACGAGGTAGGGACCGGCCTCTCCCCTCCCCGCCGCACTCACCCCCCACGGCCACCTGGAGCCCCTCAGCCACTAGCCCACAGCCCCTAGCCACTAGCCCACCCTTCGCCATAGGCAGCAGGGGCATCAGGCAGGTCCCTAGCAAGTGTGAGCCCGGCCTCCTGCAGCGAGATGTCCCCGGGGAGCTCTTAGGGCAATGGTTGGCTTCTCTTTCCTCCTCCTCGGCGGCGCCGGCGGGGCTGGGGCCGCTCCGCTCACGGCCGCTGCCTCCTTCCTTCCTTCCGCAGGAGATCATGCGCGACTACATCCAGAAGCACCCCGAGCTCAACCTCAGCGAGGAGGGCATCACGCGCTCCACGCTCACCAAGGCCGAGCGGCAGCTCAAGGACAAGTTCGACGGGCGACCCACGAAGCCACCACCGTGAGTCCTGGCCCGGAGGGTGCCACGTGTCCCCCCGCCGCTGCCCCCTCGCGTTCGGGCGCAAGGGATGTGTCCCTCTCCAAGCTCCACTTGGCTTTCTTGGGTAGACACCAGTGGCCTTTGAGCACCCAAGGTTGGCCACGTGGGCAGGGGCTCTTGGTGCTCCCCCACATTCTGCACTGGGCAGAGGAGCTGAGCGGGACTCAGGGTGCTGCTCTGAACCCCAGAGCAGGGATGGTCCTAAGGGCCACGTCAAAGAAGGGGCAGGTCCCCTTGCTAAGCCCAGTGCCCCCCGTGCCGCAGGAACAGCTACTCCCTGTACTGCGCCGAGCTGATGGCCAACATGAAAGACGTGCCCAGCACGGAGCGGATGGTGCTGTGCAGCCAGCAGTGGAAGCTGCTCTCGCAGAAGGAGAAGGACGCGTACCACAAAAAGTGCGATCAGGTGAGCGGCCACATGTCCCTGTGTCCCTCCTTCCATCCAGCTGGCCGCGAGCGCTGCGGGCAGGGGGAGCGGGGCAGGAGGGCTTGGGGCAGCGATCTCCCTGGAAATGGGCCCCCAGTCTGTCCCCAGGGCTGGTTCTTGGTGTCCCCAATGTCCCCAGGGTCCTGCTGCCATCCTCTGTCTCCCTTGCGTGGGACCAGCCGGTGGTCCAGGTGGCAGGTTCCGTTGCTGGGAAATGTCTCTGTGTAACAACCTTTCCATCTCCCCCCACCAGAAAAAGAAAGACTACGAGATCGAGCTGCTCCGCTTCCTGGAGGTGAGCAGGGCTGGGGGGCCGTGCCCTGTTCCGCTTCCCCCCAAAATAAGGGGGGTCCCGTGCACCCGTGCAGGATCCTGTCCCTTCCTA